CCTGGGGGTTTTCACTACTTTGGGTGAAGTGAATCCAAAAACAGTCTTAGTTTGCAAGTTCTGCACACTGACTGAAGCAGGTGCTTCTTGAAGATTTCTGGTGAGGACGCTGAAAGACAAAGACAGATGTGATAAGATGTTGATTTCTGTGCTCTCTGAAGTCGAGCTTGATAAGTAAAACTCTAGCAAAGTTGGAGGATAAAAAGTAAATTTACGTTGTGCAAATGGTGTCAGTTGGACACTGAGTAGAAAGAGTAATTTGTGATTTGCAGATGGTTGGTTTAGATAGTTGGCTGGGCAGTTTATGATTTACTCCAGAAAAAATATGAAATTAAGATTCTTATTTGCTTAGGTTGACTGAAGGGGACATCTCTCAGATGTCGTTGCAAAATATAAATTTCTGCATTCTCGGAAATGAATCCTATTGTAACACACTATTACAGCATGCTATGGATTGTCAGGTCAACCTTTGTCTAGCTTTTTATTGTATCTTAAACTTTCATCATTGTTATTCTTTGAAATCATCTTAATTTTTGCTGAAAATTTGTCAATGGAAATTATTTACTACTATCAGCACTGATGCGTACTGAGATTGAGAGAGAAATAGCTGACAATGAATTAGAAATTATTTTGAGGCAGTCTTAGTTTCATCAGCTTGGGAGTCATTCGTGGTGATAGGGAAATGGGCTATATCTCTTAGAAAGACAAAAACCAGTATTCTGAGTTTCTCATAGCTATATTTCTCTAGTTCTCTGTATAGTAATATTTCACTTTTTGGTTACTGTATGAAGTTTAGTGCTTTGTACTAAAGGTGAATGAGCATTGCAGCATTGACTAACCTTTACTCACAAGTGTTTATTCCAAGTCACTCCTGCAACTCTAAAGAGTTTTGCACTTGTTATTTTTGAAAAGCGGTTTTTGGAACTTTTTAAAACACTGAAATAGATTATTTGTAATGATTTGATTTTGGTCAGTTTTTCCAAATGATAGCTAATTCTTAATGGTTTGTATTTTATATATATCATATATCATCCTTTTTTTTAATATATATAATCATTTTTATATATACCATCATTTCTATATATATAAAAACCCTGCTTTTTGAATATAGATAACTTTGTCCAAAATGAGCTAATATACAAACCGGGTTTATTTTCCCAGTTAATACAATGTGCTCTTAATGGGACAGTGAACAAATGTCACATTCATCTGCTGGTATCTATAAGATCAAATCACAGTTTATTGTTCGGCATAAGAGATAACGCAACAACAATAAAAAGTAATAAAAAAGTCACAGACTCAGTGTCTCCTGATTTGTCAATAAATACTTCTGCTTTTCCTTGTTGTATCTGTAACATCCGTGCTAGTGCTCTGATTGGAGTGACAGTTTCACTTAAACAGTAATTCACAATGGAATGTGTTATGCCCATACTCGTAATGTATTAGGGTTTCATTTTTTCTCTTATTTTTTTTCAACTATATTATTAATTGCATGTTATTTTTTGTTATACAGGAAAACACAGAACTGCTCACAAACCTCATTCAAAGCCAAAAATATCGAACACTTTTGAAGTTGATTTTCAAGAAAATGGACATGATACAAAATCAGGGGGCCGTTTTCAGTCAGAGGAGGAACTATGGGCACGCTTAGAAGAGCTTGAGAGACAAGAAGAGATTCTTGGTGAACTTGACAGGTAAAGTTCAGTAGCACATTTAGGTTTGGAGTTCAAAAAGGAATAGGTGGGCCTTTCTCTTTGTATACAAAGATCTGAATAAAAATGCAGATATGTGACAAACTAGATGTGGTTAAAACAATATTAGGTAGAAGAAAGGTGGAATACGAATGAAGCTCCTCATTGAAGCATGAAGTTAGAATCTACCTCTGTATAGTATGAAATCTACTCTGTATGGTACTTCAGTGTATGGAAACATCCTGCTAATGGAGACAGTGGCCATAACACTTGCGTCTGCTCTAACCTTATTGCAGGGAGCAGGAAATGTGAGGGAAATAATAGGTGTAGAGCACAGGGAGTCAGAGCCTCTGTGACCCTGCCTCCAGCATGTGGTCACACGCTAACTTCAGGTCCCATAATCAGTTCCAGCTTTTCTTCCGTTCCTCAATATTGGGCTCCAGAGATGTTTCCAATCCTGGAAGTTCAGTATGGATAAATAATGCCTTTAGGGTAATCTTTCATATGCTTTTGAATATCCAGCATTATAGTTTTTTTTTTTTTTTTTTTTTTTCCTTTGGGGGAAATTAAAATCCATTTCTTGCAAGCTAGGTAAAACCATAATTCACAGTATAGGCGTTACTCATTTAGTGATTAATGACATTTTTAGATCTCTTCTGATCCTAAAGAAATACATGCCATTAGCCAGAATATCACGCTTCTGGTATCTTCAATTGTCATGGACATTTTTACAGAGTATTAAAAAGATTCCTCAATCTGACTAAAAATGTAATATCTCCGTGAAGGAAACTAACACATAAGCTTGTTGATTATTTTGTATGCCTGTTTTTCTCAGGGGTGTGGATTGCATTGTCTAATCTAAGTGCACTCACTTAGATATTTTTAATTTTATAGGATGCCTGATGATACAGTTGAGACAAATGGAGAAGATGCAACCTCCTCCGAAGAGGAAAAAGAAGATAAGAGGACAGATTTGAATGGGGCATACAGAGCAGAGGACTGTATCACTCAGGACAACTTCCAGGATAAAATAACAAATCCAGACTTGTTTGAACTTAATGGCTCTGCTCGTTATCACAGTGATGACGAAGATGACATAGATGTTGGAGATAGCTCTGTTCCAACCATATTTTTCTCTCATACAGTTGAACCTAAAAGGGTTTGTACATTATTATGTTTCTTCCAAGAAATTACATGGAACATATATACCATACACTTTATTTAAAATAGAAAATTTTACATTATGTAGATACTGCAGAATTTTGACTGTAGATAAAATTTCCTTTGATTTGTCTTCAAGTGCTTGAAACCCACCATTTAAATCCTTCAGTTAAAAATATGATTTAAAAATCTTCAAATCTCTGTGTTGCTCTCCTATCTTCAGAGTTGTAAATGGCATCATTGCTGTCTAGGATTTTTTTAGATGACACTTTACTTAACATGAAATTCACTGTTGAGCCCAGCTGCTGATGAACAAGAATTGTCACATATTACATGCACAGCAATGTAAAGAAGTTTCCCAACCTAGTGCAAATAGCTAAGAAAAAATGGTTCACACCATGAATGGTGCTGTTTGCACGTGTGTCTAACTTGTCCATGCTTTGTAGTCCCTAACTGCTTGGATAGGAGAGTGTCAGAACTCGCATGCTACTACAACCTGGTGGATTGTTGATTTTTATTGTCTAGACCATCATTTCTGTTCGATTTGCAGGTAAGGATAAACACAGGAAAAAATACGACTTTGAAATTCAGTGAAAAGAAAGAAGAGGCCAAGCGTAAAAGGAAGAACAGCAACGGTAATGGCCATGCAGCTCCCGAGCTGCCTAACATCAAAACCCCAGCAGACATTTACCGGTGCGTAACTTGTGACGTTGGCGTGTGAACCCTCCCCAGAGCAACTTCCCTCCTCGTGTGTGTCCGCCCATAGTGTGAAAACGAAACCCCTATTTCCTGAAAGAAGCATCTGGAATCTATCTAACTACTTCAAAATGAAAATCTGGGGCTTCTGTGTGGTTGCCATGTTTTTATACTCATGAAAATTGTAGCTTAGAATTTTGTTTTCTTTCAGAATTTTTTTTAGAGTTTTTGTTTTCTTCAGCTCATCATTTTTCAGAGCTTTTGAAATTTGTCCCAATTTGCGAAGACATCATCTGCAACAAAGAAATACAGCATTTTATGACTTCTTGTTTGCTTCTGTACTTCTTTTAAAACATAGCTGACCAGCCCTATGACTTAAAATACTCCTCCTTACTTGTTTTCTGTACCCTGTTAATACAGGATGTGTTTTTTGTCTTTTCTGTACAGTGCTTGCAGAATATGCACAGGTCTCTTGCTTGCCTGGTTCTCTTGTGTGCCATCTTCCTGTGCTGTTTTTATACCCCTAACTTCTGTCCGTCACTGTCTCTCTTCTCAGTAAAATGAAATGATCACCTGGCAAAATGCCCTTGCTCATAGAGCTAGAAAAATGACCTTGGAGTAAGAGGATTCTATAAAAGAATTAAAAAAAAAAAAAAGATTATGGAAGAGTTAAAACAAGGATATAGGTTTTCAGAGATGGTGAAGATAAACACCTCTTATACTAGCTGAAATATTACTTGTGCAAATCTACTTCGTTTGTGTGTTGGTGTATTCAGGCACCTCAATGTCATTAAAAATATGCCTCCAAATGTAGAAAGATCAGACTTATCCTGTGCATACAGTTGCTGGGACTGAAAATGAGGTAAAAGATTCTTCTGAGGTGCTGTCTCTGCGCTCTGCAGAGGAACTGCATCCTTTGTGGAAGATAAGCAAGCATCCCCAGACGCTTGGGATGAATATAAAACTGTTAAGAAATAAGTTACGCCTTCAAAAGTCATTCAGTCATTGGACTCCTCCTTTATGAGCTGAAAAAAAAAACTGTTGCTGTCTTCCCATGCTACTCCTTCTGCTCTGCTCACCCTTGACTGTAATTCTTGGAAATGAAATGTGAACTGTAGGAAGAGTTCTGTTTAACAGGTTGCAGTGTGCTGATACCTGAAAAGTTTCTTCACACTGATCCGAACTTAAAAGCTAATAGTGTGGTTATTCAGAGAAGATGATTATGTCACTCGTCGGGAAAAAAAAAATCATCCTTTCTGCTTACAAGTGATTTTTTTTTCCCTCCCCTTAGTATATATTACATTTGACAAGGTTTTATTCTGGGAAACCTTCTATTATTGTGACCTTCTGTTTCCCTTTATGAGAACGACCCTGAAAATAGTTTAGTTTACCTTTTTTTGACTTTATAAATCACACTATTCTGATTTTTGTAACACTGTTCAAAGAACTATATGTTTTTTCCTGAAAGAGTAGACCAACATTAATGATTGGTTAAAGGGCAAAGTAGCATTTTGCTCTGGAGAATTGCTCCTTGTTCATTGGTACATAAAATGCCTCTAAAGGTACAGTATTATAATTCTACAGCCAAAAAGTTGGAAAGGCATATCATAATTAATTTGTATAAAAGACAAAGCAAGATCACTGGAAATTTGTCATCTGATCCTGGAATGGTTTATTAAAGCTAACATTTTCTTTTATAGAGTCTTTGTTGATGTTGTGAATGGAGAATATGTCCCTCGTAAATCAATTTTGAAGTCTCGAAGCAGAGAGAATAGTGTTTGTAGCGATACCAGTGAGAACAGTGCTGCTGAGTTCGATGACAGACGAGGAGTTCAGAGGAGTATTAGCTATGATGAAGCTACTCAGAGTGACAACAGCGAAGGAATACTGGAGGAAGAGGAGGAGGAGGGGCAGCAGCAACTACCTAAAAAGCTTCCGTCCTCATCAGGGACATCTGAGGTACAGTTTTTAATTAATTATTGATTGTTGGCAGGGATAAAAATGAAAAATCTGACCAATGTAGTTGCAGTATCATCATTTTGTTTCATTTCTTTAATATAATTTTCCAACTCCTGACTGATTTCACTTCAGAATGACATTGTCAGGTGACATGTTTCTGCCCTACAGATCCTAGTGGGGAGAGAGGAGGGAGCGTGTCAGGTATTTGCTGGTATTATGGAAGCCAGTGTCTTGTGAACAGGGCCATCTTGGAAATTTCATTGCAGGGTAGTACAGCAAATTTTTTTAAAAAAAAAAAATTTAATTGGTGAATGGGAATATGGATTCTTTTAAATTAATTGGTGAATGGGAATATGGATTCTCTGTAACCTGCATTTTATTGGTATTCTGGACACAGAGACTAGAGAGGTAGTTTCCAAATGTTCTTCCGAGTTTTAAACATCACAAGTGATGATTTTGACCTTGCCAAAGGGATGTTCTTCCGAGAACATCAAGTGATGATTTTGACCTTGCCAAAGGGAGAGGAACTGCTCAGTGGCAGGAAGCATTGCGCCTTTATTGTGCTCTTGCAAACTGGGGCCATTAGTGAGCCCAAACAAATCTACTTCAACACTTCTGGAAAGTTCTTTGCTTAAACATAAAGGAAAGCGATTGTGTAACATAAGGAAAAATGTACAATTGCTTAGTGTGGCTGGAGATGTGCAGAACTAAGCGTAAATGCTGCTCTGAAATTTGTGACATTGACTACGTCTTAGTCTTATTTGGTAAGAACTTAACTTGGTAAGTTTGGGTAAACTGAATTTTCTGTAGTTCTGTCGCAACGGGCATATTGTTTAGAAACACTGTTTTGGCAAGAAATTAATTCCTCAGAAAGGCTATTTTTAATCAGTATTTTTAATGCAGCTGCTGACATACAGGGAGCATGTAAGGATTCATGCTAGAAGATTCTTCTGTAGAATTAGTGCTTAAGATTGTTATCTTTCTGGACTGCATTTTCTATATTTTTATGGAATATGTAAGTACACTTTAAATTTTAGCCGGTAGTCCACTTGCTGAATCACATGGCTGTTCTCTACATAATGTGTTTTCTAAGTAGCTGAAGTAGAGTGAACAAAGCACTCCAGTTAAAGACATGTCTTGTTAAATGCTGCTGTTTTGCTTTCAGTTGTATTCATGGGTGCTTGAAATAAATTATTTTTCTATTAGCATTTGCCATGCACTAACTTTTTTCCTTTTTTTCTGCTGCTACTATGATCCTCTTAGGTTGTGTTTTACTTGCCTGTTCTTGAAACTGAAATAGTGTTGGCTGGACAATGCAGTTGGGTAGAGAGAGAGAGAGTTAGACATAGTTTAGTTACTGGAGCAGAAAACAAACAAACAAAATTGTTTTTTTCAGGTCCTGCAAGATAATAGTGGTCGTTTTTTCTTAGTTAGTTTTTCCTGGTAACTGAGTTCTGCAAAGATGAATTAGGCATAGGTAATAAATTTGGTGTGCATTTCTTTGTGCCCAGTATGATCATCAAATCTTGGATGTAAACTGCTTCCCCTTTCCCTAGTCATTCTGAATTTTCTGTTTTCAACACAGTGTGGTGGTTTGTTCTTAAGAATGTTTATAAAAAGTAGCTCTGAGTTGCTTTTTTTTTTTTCAGATTTCATAGTTAAGTGAAAAAAAAAGAACAACTTGTCATTTGATAATATGATAGTCTACATATAAATTATCATTTTTAAACATTAAATGTTTTTATTAGACCTTTTATAGAGAGAGATAGTTGGAAGGAGTTTGCTGTTCTCTTAAGTATAAATCGCTTTGGCCATTTTTTGATCATATTTGGTAAGGAAAAAGGAGCAAACAAAGTAAGTGCTTGCCAATTTGTATGCGGTGTCAGCTTGATGCAATTAGAAGACACTAAGTCATAGAATATGGCGTGTGATGGAAATGCAGGCATACCCTGCTTTGCAGAAATCTCTCCCATTTTTTCCCCAAACAAAGCTCTATATTACATCAGCTGTTTTATTTCTTGAACATGTGTCAGTGAGAAAGCAAATTTTGAGATCATTTATGCAGTTTGGAATGAGATTAAGTAGTACTTTTAAGACACTGTCTTTCATTCAGTCTTCTTTGAACAAGCTATATTTTGAGGTTAATTACAATTTGGTTACTTATGCAAGGAACAATCATTGATTTAAAGATATTTCTTTACTTTTGATTAAAAGGAATAACAATCCTAATCAGGCTAATATAGGGTAATGACCTTATGGGCATAGCTGCACATTTGCATTTTATTAGCTCATTTTGAGTATTCTCTTCTATTGTAGGCATTTTCTGGAACTGTTATAGAAAAGGAGCCTTTGTCTCCCTCCTTAATACCACACCCAGTCATTGCTCACCCTATCCTGCCTACCATTCTGGAGAGAAAATCAGAGGAAGTTTTGTCCGAAGCATCAGAAGAAACTACAAAGAGGATTTCAAAATTCAAAGCTGCCAGAATGCAACAGACTAATAACTAGGTCTTGCCTAGACAACAGAAGTTTGAATATTAATGCCTAGTTTCATGTTTGTTGAGATTATGTAAAACTATATGCATTGCACCTAGCTAGTTAAGAGGATGTCCTATGTTAATTTGGCATTGTTTATGTTTTAAAACTCTATTGGCAATATTAAAAAATTAAATGTTTTGAACACTTTGGTATTCATCTTAATTTGTTAATTTCCTTGTATGCTGTCAGCACCTTTGTATATGTTTGCCTTATGATAGCAGCACTTGGATTATTTTTCAAAAAATGTTCCTTACATTGTTTTGTGTTTAAATCTAAATACAGGCAGTTCTCTACCAGCTGTGATGTTCTACATGCCATATGGACCATATTAAAGAAACTTTTCACATTTCAAGTAGATTCAACAATTATACTGCATTACTTGCTTTAGTATTTTAAAAAAACACTTGTATTCACATTGTTGTAGGTTTTGCAGCTAGGTGTCTGCTAAACTTTGTTTTTTTTCCTTCTATCAAACCTCTCTGGTATCTCACTGTACAGATCTATAAAATGCTGGGTTCATGTACATTGCAGGGAAGTTTCTTTGATGGAAAAGGGTATTTTGTAAAATTAAATTTTCAGTAAAAAGCTGTGAAATTTATGGATTTTGTTGCTTTATTAATAATTTGAAAATAAATCATGGAGAGGTTTTTATTTTTAACTTCCATTTCCAACTTGAAGTGCTTGCTACCACATGGACATAAAAGCAGTCCATTCTCCTCTGCCATTGTGTTCTAACCTCCTGTTAAGTGAATGTCTATGGAAATTGAATGCTCTTAAGGAGAGAAGCGTAAACTCAGGCTATGATTACAAAATCTCCTAGTTCTTTTGTATAGTCAGAAAACATTGTAATTGTCTTGAGAATGCCCAGAGGGAGTCAGCACTAAGGAAAAATGTCTTAATGCGTCAACTTTATTTCAAAATGTAGCAGCACTGCAACACTAGGGGTACGATTTTGTGTATGGTCTTGACTGAGAGCCATCCTGGCTCTAGGAGTTCCTGCCCCAGAAACTGTCCTCTTGCCATCCCAAGTTGTGCTGACACAGCTTTTGCTGGGTCAGCCCTTCAAAGATAAGGGCCAACTGAGCTGGCTTAAAAAAAATTCAAAAACCCAACAGTTTGAGCTTTGAGTTGTGCGTGTTGTTTTGAAGTGAGCTCGTTCCCTGGTGTGTTTGCAGCAGCATAGTTAAAGGGGTGATGCCTTGAGAAGGACAAGGGGAAAGCAGTGGCAGAGTTTGGACAGTGTTTGGGAGGTGGAACGCCTTAAACTGATTTTACTCTTAAGCTGACATCATCAAACCATAGTCTTAAAAGTGAGATTCACAAAATGTAAGAAGGGACTTGCTTCTGGCTGCAGTTTGGTGACTTTGGAAACGCACGGTTCCTTAGAGCTGCCAGCAGCTCTTTTTCAGCAAGTCACCCATCCGTTTGAACGGAAGTCGGGTAATGCCATTTCCTTCTCCCCACTTGATCTGTTAACCTGGACTGGCAGATCTGAATTACCATCCCCTTGTTTTCAAACATGCCTTCTTACTTTGGGTTCTAAGGTGACTTCTTAAAAAGTCCGAGGTGTCTCGTGCCTGGCTAGGTCCATAGTGCAAGCTGCTGCTTGAAGCGGCTACAGGGGTTAAGGGTAGGTGGGAGAAAGTGCTGTCCAGCCCAAACCACGTGCCCTGGGTGCGTGTACTCACTCGTAGATATGTAAGCACCTAGGGATGAGGTCCTGTGCTGGGCACGTGGAAGGTGGCACAGTCCCACTGTAAGGCAAAGAAAGGTGAAGCCAAGAAGTGACCGCCGTGACCAGCTCGGTGCCTGCCCCTTTGCGCTCTGGTGGCAAAGGGCTCAAGGCCCAGCAAGGGAACGCGTGGCTCCTTAGCTGTGCCCTGCGGCTGCGGGAGCTGCTCCCTGAGAGCACCGGGCTGAACCTTCCCCAGAACATGGAAGCAAATTGTGTTTTGAGGCAAGAGCTCCTCTCTGGAAAGTTGAGCAGTTCTCCTGCGTGCCTGGCTCCTTGGAGACTTCTACGTGGGAGGGGGCAGTCAGAGTTTTAAGCAGATCCCGAGAATCATATTGAAAGTGTTAATGATTAAATTGATTCATGCTAAAATGAAGACTTTTAAAGCATATTGCATTAGTACTAAAATAAGCCATCAATGCCAGTCCACCCTCTATTCACGGCTAAATATTTAAAGGAGGTTATTTATAGCTTCTTTAATGAATTCTTGGCTAAACAAAATGAAATTATGTCCTAGAAAAGTAGAAGCTATTTTGTAACCAGAACAGTGCAACTGTAAAATATAGTTCCATGAATATGTATTTTAAATAACAAGGGGTTGAGATCCAAGACTACCAGACATGGGTAATTAGAGGGAAAAGGAGAAAGAGAAAGAAAGAGAGAGAAAAAAACCCCTTTAAAAAGATTTATTTAGATATCTTCTGTAATGCTCCCTACTTCTAGTTACTTGAGCAAAACCAAATGCCCCTTGTCACCATAGATCAGTTTCAAATAAAAATTAATTCTTTGCTTGCTTTCCTGTTCCCCCCCCCCTTTTTCACAACCCTGCTCACAAGAAAAAATAGAATAAATGCACCTTGGGTTTCAATGAATTATGGCCTTGGTTCACAGGCGCATCCTTGCTCAGGAATGCACTTTGGCATGTGCTTATGTCTCAAAGATTTCGGAAAGAAGAATGGATTTAACCACATGCTTAAAACTAAGCACATGAATGTTTTGCCTAATAGGGATCCTCAGTGTGTCTGTGCCTTTTTTTTTTTTTCTTCAGGATATTTAATTTAATCAGAGGGTTTGCAGAGCAGGATGATCCTTTATCTTTGGTCTTCTTTCTTGGACTTTGCTATCAAATGTACTTTCTAAAGTGTTAGGATGAAGCAACGTCGCCAGATTTGGAAGCATTTTCTAATTTACTAACAAGTTTCTTGTTAGTAATTTAATCTATCAGAGTACCAGTGTCTTTTTCACCTCACACTAGAGTTTTTATTCACTTCAAAAATAATAAGAGTATAGTCTAACATGTTTTTAAAGTCGCCTTGATGGCATTTTTCCCTGCTGCAGGAAGAGGGCTCCTCCTGCCCTGGACTCCATGTTGGCCAGGGGGCGGCCGCGGCAGGGTGGCCGCGCG